CCCCTGGCTCTTCCCCATTTTTAACTGCAAAAGGTAGATTGGGACCGGCTTGCTTGTTCCATGTCTCTGCGCTTCCTATCAGTCTTTGCATGGCTGATTTTTCATATCCTTAGTTATAGGACTTCTGGTCAGCTAGACTTCAGGTGGTTCTCAGTGATGGTTGTTCTGTAGTTTAATTGTAATTTTGATGTGATCCAGGGAGAAGGCAAGTACAGCATTTATGTACTCTGCAGTCTTGACTAGAAGCCTTTCCTAATTTTTCCATTGCTGCCCTTCCAAGTTTCACCTTCTCTTGATTTCATGGCTGTAGTCTCCATTGGGAAGGCAGCTGTGCTCACCACTATGGCACCAACGCCATAGTCTCCATTTGAATTGATGACTGAAACAAAGTAATCAAAGTTTTTTAACAGTTTCATGTCTACTTTTAATTAAGTGGTTGATTCCTAGATCAGATTAACATGTATATAAGTTATTCATGACTGTCAGAAGCAAAAGCTGCAGGCAGTGTTTTTTCTAAAACCAAACACTAGAGGGACAGGCAGGCTTCTTTCACTGTGGCTGGGTCCTGGCTCCTCTAGGAGGTAGCCAGCCATTGCAGCCCTTTGGAATTATAATAATTGGCCTCAGTGCCTGGTGATCCAGGTACTGCTTGCCATATACCATTAAGACCTGACCCATCTTCTTTTATTTTTATTGATTTTTTTTTTTTTTTACAGAAAGAAAGGGAGAGGAATAGAGAGTTAGAAACATCGATGAGAGAGAAACATTCATCAGCTGCCCTCCTGCACACGTACTACTGGGGATGTCCCCACAACCAAGGTACATGCCTTTGACTGGAATCGAACCTGGGACTCTTCAGTCTGCAGGCCAATGCTCTATCCACTGAGCAAAACTGGTCAGGGCCTGAACCATCTTTTGCTAGCTAGTGCAGTTCAAAGCAGGAATCACATTTATAATAGAAACTGTTGATGTGCTCTTTAATCCTTATAGGGGAACCAGGGGCCCGTTGCACAAAATTTGTGCACTGGATGGGGGTGTCTCTCAGCCTAGCCTGTACCCTCTCCAATCCGGGACTGTTGGCTCCTAACTGCTTGCCTGCCTGTTGCCCCCAACCTCTTCTGCCTGCCAGCCTGATCACCCCCAACCACTCACCTGCTGGCCTGATTGATGCCTTAACTGTTCCCCTGCCAGCCCGATCGCCCCCAACTGCCATCCCCTGCTGGCCTGATTGCCCCCACTGCTCTCCCCTGCTGGCCTGGTCGCCCACAACTGACCTTCCCTGCAGGCCTGGTTGCCCCTAACTACCTTCCCCTGCTGGCCTAGTCACCCACAACTGACCTTCCCTGCCGGCCATCTTTGTGAGGGCATGATGGTCAATTTGCATATTACATAGGATAGGATATCTCAATCGAGTTTTTCTCCACCATTCTTTCATGGAAAGGAGATGAAAGATACTAGCCCTTAACTGGTCCAGACCTAGTAGTGCAAACTGGAGTTTCATTAATTTGGTTAAGTACTTCCATTACTAGAGTCGCTGAGGATATTGTAGGAACTATTCTTTATTTTACATCACAATTTTATTTAGCAAAATGGTAGTATTGAGGCTCAACTTGAATTCACTTTGACACTAAGTCCTGTGTCATATTTTCTTTAGCATGTTAATTCTCCAAAGCATTTGGTTATTTAATCATTTTAATTTGTTGCTTAAGGTATTTAATTCTCAAGAGCTACACTCTGGCTTACAGCTCAGGTCTCTTCCTTAGGTCTCTCAAAGCTGACTACCAGGCATAGAGGAAGGACTTGCCTTTAAGACCCAGCCAGGCAGGCCTGTAAATAACTTTGGGTCCCTAAAAGGGACTCTTCTGTGCACAGATTACTCTTGGGATTTGCCACCATATTTGGAACAGGACCTCTGGAGCCAGCAAAGCTCAGGGTGGTCAGGTTTTCCTAGTACCTGGAAAACCTATGTGGTTACCGTGACTGCTTTCAGAACATGGAATCCTGACTCATGTCTCCCCAGTGTTCAATAGCTGTCTCTCCCTTGAACTTCTGTAAGTTAGTGCTACCCTAGCCTTTTCTTTAATTTATTCTCATACTAGAGGCCCAGTGTATGACATTCAAGCACTGGGGTGGGGGTGGGAGTGGGGGCTCCCTTAGCCCAGCCTGCACTCTCTCCTCACCGCTCGCCTGTTCACTGCTCCTTACAGCTCGGCCGCTGCTGCTGAATGCTGCCACGGAGGCAGGAGAGGCTCTCGCCGGCTTCTGGCTGAGCACCAGGGAGTCAGGGTGCATCATAGCGACCTGTCGTGCAGTTGTTGGGGAAACAAAGAGATGAATACAGTGTAATTGCTGTGTAGTGGGGACATAGAGAGATACTGAAGTGTCAGAATTTGAGAATTTGTCTTAGAAAATTACAGTGGGTTTAATGTACAGGAAGAGTTGGCCAGATGCAGGTAAGTTAATGCTAAGTAGAAGGATCATGTGCTGAGGCATGGAATCAGGAGGTAGCCTGATGCTTTCCTGTGTAGTGTTTGCAGTGTTGTTTACGGCAGTCCCCCCTTATCCATGGGACATTCGTCTCAAGACTCCTAGTGGACGATTGAAACCATGGAAAGTACCGAACTCTGTATATATTGTGCTTTTTCCTCCTCATTCTCCAAAGCCGTCTTCTCTCTTGGCCCTTTGAATGGAGGTGCTTTATGGTGTTGTCCTTGTTCTTCACTTACTCTGCACTTGGTCTCTGGACTATGCTATCCACTGTGATGGTTTTAGATAATTCCTTGAGAATAAATCCAGCTCTGGTCTTTTTCTTTCGTTTTAGAACAAATTAAGATTAAAATTACACAGTTTGCTTGATAGAATTTGTGTGTTGTTTTTTTCACAGTATCACCAACTTGGCCCTGGCCAGGTAGCGCAGTTGGTTAGAGTGTCATCCTGATACTCCAAGGTTGTGGGTTTGAACCCCAGTCAGGGCACGTATCAGAATCAATCAGTGAATGCATAAATAAATAGAGCAATAAATCGATGTTTCTCTTTGCCTTCCTCAAACCAATCAATCAGTCAATTAATAAAATTTCAGTTAAACATTTTCCAAACAGGCTAAAAACCTGACAATAAACTTTAATTCTTCCCTTGCCTTCCCCCAGCCTCACCAAACTTAGGCATTTGTTAGGTCTGTTAACTGATAGACCTGGGGTGACCAAGAGCATTTCACATGTCCAGACTCTCTTTGCCATCCCTGCTGCTGCTGCCCAAGTTCACGACTTTGTTTTCTCTCACCTGGGAGTATTACAGTGTCTTTGCCTCCAGTTTCTCAGGTCTTCCAGAATTACTTCAGTATAAGCTTGAGCATGTTAGTTCTTTCCTTGGTTGCTCTCCGTGAGTACAGAGTAACATCCAGCCTCTTGGTAGGCAGGACTCTTAGCAATCTTGTCCCAGAAGACTCTCTGAACCTTGTGTCCCACAACCTCTCTAAGGAGCCATTTCCTAAAGCTCCATGAATGTTTGTACTTCTGGGCATTTACTTGTGTGTTCCTGCCTTGACTGCCCATTCTGTTTCTCCTTTCTGCCTAGAAAGTCCTGCAGAGTCCATTGCAAGGGTCTTCTCTGTGAAGTCTTCTTAAAGTTTATAGTAAATGTTTGGGGGATTACAAGGAATAGAACTGTGCTACAACTTTAATAGCAATGACTATTTATGGAGAAATTACTGTGTGACAGCCACATTATGAACACTGCGAACACTAAAAGCAGGTGATTAAGAACGTGAGCATTGATGATAAGAGTTATTTATAATCTCAGCATCAGTTAAGTCTGACAGTTAATTGTGCTTCTCTTAATGGAAAGTAAGCAATAAATGATGGTTGCTGCCACCATAAATGGTAAGGTTCTCATCCCTTCTCACCCCTTGTGAGATAGTAGATATATCATTATGCATGTTTTACAAATGATGAAACTGTGGCTTAGGAAGTCTGGGTAACTTGTACTGCTTCCCCAAACACACGACTGTGGGATTTGTGGCTTACTCATCTTTTTATTCTATAGTATCTTTAAACTCAGTAAGTATTTATTGAATTTAAGGTTGTATCTGCAGTTCCAGGGTCAGATGATAGAAAAATTTAGAAATTGTTACCTGTACAGAGTGGTAATTTAAGTTGTTCTCTTAAGTCTTGTCGTCTTTGAGAGTGCACACATTTCAACCACACTTCAGCAGTGAGCTACATAGTGCCATGTGACAGATGGCAGTGATCTTCAACTGTTACTTAAACCTTTTTTATTTATTTTTTATTTTTATTGATTTTTTACAGAGAGGAAGGGAGAGGAATAGATAATCAGAAACACTGATGAGAAAGAAATAAAGATCAGCCGCCTCCTGCACATCCCCCACTGGGGATGTGCCTGCAACCAAGGCATGTTCTCTTGACCGGAATCGAACCCGGGACCCCTTAGTCTGTAAGCCGACGCTCTATCCACTGAGCCAAACCGCTTTCAGCAAACCTTTTTTAAAATTTGTTTGTATTTGTCTTTCCCCCCCAACTGGTTTGTAAACTCTAAGGGCAGAAGATCCGTACTGTGTACTACTATGCATATTAACTCCTGCTCCCTTAAAATCATTGTTTACTAAGATAATAGTCAAACTTGAATAAGAGTTCATCTTAATCTCAAAAAGGAATTCTTAAGCAGTGACCAACCAATATTATTTTGTTAATCTTTACTTTCTATTATCTGAATTAAGAAAACTTGTTTTACATTTTCCAAATAAAATTTATTAAACTTTCATCTCTAATATTTGTTGCATTTATAACAGTCTAAGTCATTATTCTAATACACATTTGTACCCTTGAGTTTCATTTTACAGTTGAGGAAGTGGAGGGCCATATTCCAAGTGGTTCACCCACTTGTCTTGCAAACTGTTCTCTAAACAACTTGGTAAATAATCAAGATCCTTAGGGGTGTGAGAGTTTTCAATGCTTTGTAATTTATTTTTGTTTATTTTTTGACAGAGCTGAAAAACTTCAGCTGCTGAATCACAGGCCTATGACTGCTGTTGAGATCCAGCTGGTAAGTGAAGGAGGATAGTGTGTGTGTGTGTGTGTGTGTGTGTGTGTGTGTGTGTGTGTGTATGTGTGTGTAATGGGGGTGGGTGGGTTGATTTATGGGTATGAGATGTAGAAAGGGTGATATAAAGGCAGACAACAGCCAGGAACTGGCATAATTTGGAAAGACTGTCAGGCCACTACATTTTATAAGAGAAATTTAATCCTACTTAGTATGGACTTAGGTAAAGTAGAAGACGAAATTTAATTCCTTCTACAGGTTAAGGCCTATGATTTGGTAGCTCTTTTCTCACCTGATGTTCTACATGATTCTGGCCATTGCTCCCCTGTAGGGTTATTGCCAACCCAGATATTGCATACAAGCATTAGACTCGACATGATTGCTGGAATACATCTCCCCCACGCCTACCCTTTGACCTGCTCTACCTGAATTTCTTTTCTTGGCTGATGGAGCATATGTGCACTTTCCCACATGCTCTCTTTCTTACCCTACTGGCCCAGTCTCCTAAGCTAGAAACCTGGAAGTCATTCTCTTCTTTTTATCACACTCAGTCCTCAGGTTCTATTGCTTCTGTCTCTTATTCTTCCTTTCCCTACTGCACTGAATTACTCTCTGTCATCATATCTCAACTCGGCTCTTGCAGTTATCCTCTCACCATTCTCCCTGTTCCAGTCTGGCCCCTTCAGTCTATCTTCCACAGCACTATATCGTTCATTTTCTAAAACCACAAATTTGATGATCTTATTTCCCTGCATAAAACCATTCAGAGGAGCCTCGTCACATGGAAAGTTTAAATTGCAGTCACAGCATAAAGCTTGAATTGTGGGAGGCAGCTGGAGTAGAAAGCTGAGGTGGTGTAAGGAGACTGTGAAACAGGTCCAGTGATACAGATGAGTAGTTGCTTTATTGACTTGCTGTTTCCTTCAGTAGTACAGAGCAAAGAGCATCAATAAGCTACAAATATTAGGCAGGCTATTCAACTGCCAGAGAGAAACTTTGGCTGGAGAATTAACAAAATGAGAATAAAACTGTTTCCAAAATCCGTTTTAGAAGTATTTAGCACTTTGTCAGATTTCCTATAGAAAAGTGTGGAAGAAAATGGCCAGTAATACCTATGATCTCTAAAATTGTTTAAAAAAACAAAACAAAAATACTCTTTCCTTAAAGAGTCATGGGATATTTAATTTTTGACTAAAACTTATTGTCTTTGTAGTGTTGCTTCTGCCCTTCAGAATGTACTCAAAATTTAGAAAAGTTCCTTCCACAAAGGGTGCCTTTCTGGGTAACCGGTCTTCAGGATACACAAAGATTCATTTTAAACCCTCATTATTCTTATGCTTTCGACTGTGTGTATGTTGGAGATTCAACTTGGAAAAGAGAAAAAACAAACAAAACAGCAAGAAACTAATTCCTTTCCCTCTGGGTTAAAGATCACATGTCATGTCTCCTCCAACTTTAATCAGCAACATATGTTATTCAAGGCGTAAGAACAGATGGAGAAGAGATGAGGAGGATTAGTGTGACCTCATCCCAGAGCCTGTAGAAAGGTCTATCATCCCTTGTAAAATTAGCTGCTATTAAGAATACCTATTGTATGCCAGACGTGGTGCTAAGGCTTTGTAAATGTCACCTTTAATGCCTCCACCATAATCTTGGCTAGTGAGAGGCTGATTCAAGTTTGTCTAATTCACAAGTCTTACTGTGTTCCCCAAGCCACGTACTTTTGGATCCCCTCAGACTGTTCTCTTCTTTCCTTGGTGAAAATTATGTGTGTTGTTTTCCAGTAATTGGACCATTTTATATCCAGAGTTTTCCCAGCCTGGGCTTTGGCTGTAAAAGATAGCAAATCATTTACCAAGGCTTGTAGCAGTACCTCTTCTCCCTAGAGTGGAATAAGAAGTTGGGTTTTCACAGAGAATGGAAACTGCAGAGCACTTGAGACTTTCCTCATTTAAAGCTTACAGCCATTTTGAAGTAATCCCAGCATCTAACATTTGTTAGTATTCAGTATTAGGGTCTGAAACTTCTCTTTTTCAATTGCACCTCAGCCATGATTTGTTGGAATCCTCAGACCTGTCTGAAGAAGAGGAAGCCACCAGCTTCTATGACTCTGCCTCCCCTTTGAGCCCTCTGATCTGAAGATAGGACAGTGAACCCATGACCTCACCGGCCATGGCCCTGAGCAGCTCTGCCATCCATGTCTGTTATAATGTAGTGACTATAAAATGTCTTTTTAAAAAAAAAATATATTTTATTGATTTTTTACAGAGAGGAAGGGAGAGGGATAGAAAGCTAGAAACATTGATAAGAAACATCGATCAGCTGCCTCTTGCACTCCCCCCATTGGTGATATGCCCGCAACCAAGGTACATGCCCTTGACTGGAATCGAACCTAGGATCTTTCAGTCCATAGGCTGATGCTCTATCCACTGAGCCAGACCGGTTTCAGCAAAATGTCTTGAATTATGTAGAGTTTTATGGCTTACAAAAGACGATAGTATTTGTTCTTATTTGGTCCTGACTATACACATTACTTTCTTTTTTTTCTTTCTTTTTTAATATATTTTATTTATTATTATTATTTTTTAAAATATATTGATTTTTCACAGAGAGAAAGGGAGAGAGATAGAGAGCTAGAAACATCAATGAGAGAGAAACATCGACCAGCTGCCTCCTGCACACCCTCTACTGGGGATGTGCCCGCAACCAATGTACATGCCCTTGACCAGAATCGAACCTGGGACCTTTCAGTCCACAGGCTGATGCTCTATCCACTGAGCCAAATCAGTTTCCGCTATACACATTACTTTCATTTTATAATTGAGAAAATTGAAATTTACAGAGGTTGGGTGAACTGTTCCTGGGTCAACTAGCTAAGAGTGTCAGTGACTATTAGATTTTGAGATGTTTGCGTAAAGTAAGAGGTTAGGCCTGGCAGCTTAAAATGAGAAACAGTTCATCAGCTCAGTTTGACAGCTCCTGACCATTGATATAATCTTTGTATATGATTAAAGACATGTGTGATGTATGTTGACCCATCTGCAAATACTTTGGATTTTAAAATTTCATTTGCCTTTATATTCTGAATAACTTGAAACCTTTGATTTCGGAATGTTGAAATGGTGCTTTGCACTTCTTTATTTGGGCCTGAGAGTCTTGGGTTGAAAAGAAGACTTCCTGATTATAATTATCCTTGAGGATCATTTGCGAATCAAAGCTGCTTCTGGAAAATTTGGCTAAATGGAAAGCTCATCAGCCCTTTTGCCAAGAACACACCTCCCTGACACCTGATCTTAGTGTTGCATCTACCAAACCCAGAGATTGGGATGCAAGAAGGTGGCCTATTGAGGTTCTCTCTGTTTGGTTTTCTGAAAGGGAAGGCCTCTTAGAGGTCACATAACCAAACTCTTAACCAGTGGACTCTATGGTAGTCTGCTGTACAGCAGAGCATCTCTGAGAGAGGAAATGATAGGACCTTCTCTAGAAAGCTGGGATGGAAAGTCAAAAACCTTGCCCCACTTGCTTTGAGACCCAGGTCAAGTTCCACTTACTGGTAAATTTGTCCTACCTTGATGTGCAGTGCTCTTGAGAACTCTGGGACAGTGATTCTGTGATAGCCCCTCACAATCTGTGGAGCACTGCACAGATACTAGTGTAGACTCTCACACTCTTTTTTTTTTTTTTTTTATTAAAAATATATTTTATTGATTTTGTACAGAGAGGAAGGGAGAGAGATAGTTAGAAACATCGATGAGAGAGTCATCGATCAGCTGCCTCTTGCACGCTCCCTACTGGGGATATGCCTGCAATCAATGTACATGCCATTGACCGGAATCGAACCTGGGGCCTTTCAGTCCCCAAGCCGACGCTCTATCCATTGAGCCAAACCGGTTTTGGCTAGACAATGGACATTTTATTTCACAGTGTGATGGGAATTAATTTCATTGGTTCACTTGGTATCTTCCCCACCCTAGACCACCTGGGGTTATTTTCTAGTTGTGGAAACATTTTGGACTAAGATGAATGAAGAGACTAATGTTTTGTCAGGAGTTTGCAGAATGATCTTGGATGTGTCACCGGACTTCTTTTGTTTCTATACTGTTATCTGTAAAGTGAGGCAGTGGACTGATTTCAGGATTGTAAATCTAGCTTGCCATCTTCTTTTATTTAAATCTACCGGATTTCTTTCTAGAATTCCTTTTGGTCTTACTTGCCAGATGTCAGAGATAGGGTGTCAGCTGTGTGTTCAGATTTCCAGGGCTGCTGGAAGCCAGGCTTTAAGTAGACCTGTGAGGGGCAATGTGGGGTTGCTTTCCAGCGTCACTCACCAGACTCCTGTTCTGCATTCTCAGGAGGAGACTTAAGGCCCAGTGGTGTGTGTTTGAGTTGGATAGGCCTGGCTTGGATTTCTAGTTCACCCCTTGCCAGGATTGTTCTGAGACTTAAAAGAAATAATGGATGTAAAATGTAAGGTGCAGCACCAGGCACATATAATAGCTCCCGAAAGAGCTGTTCTTAGGTGGTGGGGTTAATGAGGATTAGAAAAAAATGTATAATCCTTTTGGCACTGTTGATGAGGCAGTGTGGGATTGTTTTCCAGGGGCACTCTTTAGACTCCTGCTGAGTCATCAGATGAGTTGCTGCTAGTTTGTAAGTTACTGATGAACTTGTGAAATATAAAAATATATAAAGCACCATGCACTCCCAGAGGTGATTTTTTTCTTTGCATGTACAACATATTCACATGTGTATATAGGGACAGAACTGTTAGGGTTTTCTTTTTCTTTCTTTTTTTTTTTTTAATGTATTTTATTGATTATTTTATTTTATTATTTTTTTTGTATTTTTTTTTTTTGTATTTTATTGATTATTTTATAGAGAGGAAGGTAGAGGGATAGGATAGAAAGCCAGAAACATCGATGAGAGAGTAACATTAATCAGCTGCCTCTTCCACGTCCCCTGCTGGGGACGTGGCCACAACTCAGGTACATGCCCTTGACCGGAATCGAACCCGGGACCCTGGAGTCTGCAGGCCGACGCTCTATCCATTGAGCCAAACCGGCTTCAGCTTCTTTTTCTTTAAAGAAAACTTCTCCCTCCTGTGGAGCCAAGGTGGAGCGGACCCAGAGACCGGAGGTTGCTCTGGGCTGGCCCTGAGCTCTGTGCTAAGCGGCTGGGCTGGGACTGGGAGCGACATGGGGCGGCCCAGCCCAGCGGGCCCACTCGTAACCCTGGAGGTTTCCTTCCTTCTGCAGATGGTGGAAGAGAGTGAAGAACGGCTCACAGAGGAGCAGATCGAAGCGCTCCTCCACACGGTCACCAGCATTCTGCCCGCAGGGCCAGAGGCTGAGCAGAAGAAAGCGGCTGGCTGTGCCGTGACAATGGAGGAAGAGGACCCGGCGTAGGAGAGCACACCTGGCCAAGCACTCATGAACCTCAAAGGCCAGCCGCTGCTTTCAGACACACAGGACTGTTTGTTTAGTTTTATCCTCTCCCCCAGCAGACCGGATTTCATGGTCTTTTTCAAAAATAAGCGGAAGAGAGAAATTCTTTCTCAAAAATAAGCGGAAGAGAGAAATAACTGCATTCGGGAGGAGAAACATGGTGAAGCCAGGCTGACGTCAGCACCGAGAGCTGAAGAAAGGAGGGCCTAGGCAAAGAGGACAAGCACTGGGGAACCCTCTGTGGGAAAATATTTCTTCTGTGGCCTTTGCCACAATTGTGGGCAAGTCGTTTATACGCCACTAGTACAGTACGGTGTTGCCTTTGATGGGCTGGCCTACTAATTAGCTCCACCTACTTCCTTCCTTAGGGACTCCCCAAGCTGGGGCGCAGAGTGCTGCTGGGATGAGAACTAAGCAGAATCCAGTTAGCTGGCTGATCACTCCTAGAGCAGCTCTAGGCTAAAGTGAGCCGCTGAACTTGGCTCACCTTAGGGGAATCTTTTCCTCAAGAAAAGCAGAGATGAGAAAAGAACAGGTCTGCCAACCCTTCATCGGGTCTAAAGGCCCCTTTCCTCTATGGCATGGGCTTTGTTTACCGGCCCACGATTTGGTCTTAAATGTTCAGGCACAGCTCATTCCAACTGAAAAGGCACTTCAAACTGAATGACTGGCAACAGAAATCAGTGTTGGTTGCCTTTCTGACTGCCCTGGGCAGGTGCCTCCTTGGAGACCAGGTGAGCTTCATTTGTATAGCAGGCAAATTATTTGCATCTTTAAAAAGGGTACAATTATGCACTCTTTTAAAATAGAATATATAAGAAATAGAGGTTGATTAATGAGAATTTGAATTTATTGACTATTGTAGGATTGTTTCAGTTTTTAAATTTTTAAAATATTTTGATAATTATGTGAAGAGCTTGTTAATATTCAGGCATTAGAGAGTTTAGTAGCTCCCAGATATGTGATTGCTTTTGGTCCTATTGAAAGTAAATCTAATTTCCCACATAAATTCTTTTCCCTATTTGGGGAAGAAAATGCCCATAAACATTACTTTTCCAAATTGGCACGCATTTGTTGTAAGATTACATATTTTCAATGCTGCTGTTAATTGGATTACTTCTTATTCCTTGTGATTTCTAGGTTTTTATTTCTCTACCTCCTTTCCTCTCCCAGTTGTAATTGTTTCAGTCTTAACCTTATCGTCTGAAGATCAGCGAGATCTGCTTACAGGCAACATTAAATGAACAGGACATTTATTTTTAAATCTTCCTTGAGTGTTGGGAATTTTACCATGGGCTGTTTTTATTAGTCAAGGCATTCATGTGCTTATGTATTGTTTCGTCTTAACCATGAGTGTGTGAGATTCTTTTGCTTGATAGATTTAGGGCTTAATCCATTTAATAATAAATTGTTTCCAGGTGACTGCCAACTTGTTTTTTTTTTTTTAAATATATGTTTTTATTGATTTCAGAGAGGGAGAGAGAAGTATTGATTGGCTACCTCCTGCATGCCCCCCACTGGGGATCAAGCCTGCAACCTACCCCTGACCAGAATCAAACCTGGGATCCTTCTGTCCACAGATCTATCCACTGAGCCAAACTGGCTAGGGTCAACTTGTGTTATTTTTATAGATCTTGAAGAGTTTGTTTTGCCATGGATAGAAAGAAATCTAACTTGGAGTTTAAAATGTGTGATTAAGAAAACAATTGAATCTACTTAGATTAACTAATGTGTTGGATTTCAGGAAAGTTTTTAGTTTCTACCTTTGGGATCTGATGAAACTACACAAACTCTGGAATACTCACCTTTCATCAGAACCATATTCTGTATAATATTCCTGTCACATTAATAATGAACATTTTAGAAAGAAAAAGTCATAATTGACACAAACATCTGGGAAGGAACTGGAGAGTCTGGGAGAATCACTTTTCATTTTATATTCAATATGTTTTCAGTCTTTGACCATGTGACCATTTTATTCTTTAAAAAGGAAGAGAAGTATGTCCATTTGCATGTAAAAGTTGTTGAATGTGTAGTTGACAGTTAAATCTTGTCCCAAACGTGGAGGCGGAAGCCCAGCTCGGTCACTCGGAGAGAAGGCACTCAGGGAAGCTGCTACAGGCCCCGCAGCCTGGCAAGAGAAACGTTCTGAAATGTCCTCATTAATTGCCGGCCAGAGGGTGGGCGAGAGAGCAGGGAGGCTAATCACTTAACAGAGCCGAGGGCCAAAGCCAACAAATGTCTGTTCATATTCCTGAATGTATGTTGAGATTTTTAATCAACTTCCTGCCTGCACTTTGTACTTTTATCTAGAGAGAATAGACAACCACCATATGCCACCACATCTTGTTTCCAGGCTGTTGCCCACAACCAGTTCTTTTTAGGGACTATGCACCTATTCCAGAACTTCTCTGGTTTACCTCCCAATCCCTTTATAGCCATTCTTCCAAAACACCCTAAGTCTTTCTTCCCCAAACTTACTGTATAAAGGAGCCCTGCCAGCTCCAGAATGGTGGACATGCTTGTCTCCATCTACCCCTGCTGCTTGTGGTTTAGGCTACACACACCAGGAACTGGTGCTTTTTCTGGCTAGCATTTGGCTCAGTAAACCCTTTCAGAAAAACTTCCGGCCTCAAAGGTTACTGTTTAACAAGCACATGAAAAAGGTAAGGTTTTTGAGAACTAATGCCAGCCTCTGGCCTAATGACTATATTTTTAGGTCTACCAGCCTTTGTTATTTGACTTTTGTAGGCTCTCAAAAATTGGAAGCAACCAATTGATGTGTTTCTCTCACATCAATGGTTCCTTCTCTCCCCCTCCTTCCCTTCCACCGATTCTGGAAGTCAATGGAAAAGATATCCTCTGATGAAGATTAAAAAAAAAGGGGTGGTGGTGAGGGGTGTTTGGACTCAGATACAGAGGGAAGACAGTGTGAAGAGACACATGCAAGACATGGCCATGGACAGCCAAGAAGAGAGACTTGAAAAAAGCTCTCAGAAGGAACCAACTCTGTTGACACCTGTAATTGGCGAATATAATTGATTTTGGACTTCTAGCCTCCAGAACTGTGAGGTAATATAATTATATTGTTCAAGTAAAAAAAGGAAACAATGAAAATCTAAGTATTCTAGGACGATCATTCACAGTCTGGCCACCTGTAAAATTTCCAACTTTATTAGTCTTGTACAGTCCTCCATTCCAGCCAAATGGGTTCCCTCATTCAGTAATCAAATTTTTATTCAGTGTGTACCATGCAAAGCCAAGGGCTGGGCAGTGGGGATATGACTGTCATCCAGTGTCCCTGCTTTCAGAAAGCTTTATATTCTAGGGGGAGAGATGCTAAATTACCAGTTTCATAGTTCATTATTTAATTACAACTACAGTTAAGAGTTGGAAATTAAAATTAGCTAAGAGAGTACTAGCTATATTATAAAAGGTAATATGCAAATTGACCGAACACTGGATCCACTGGTCTCTATGACCTGCACAGACCACCAAGGGGCAGACACTCAAAGCAGGAGCTGCCCCCTAGTGGTCAGTGTGCTCAGCCAGAAGCCCGGAAGCTGGCCTCATGGCTGGGGAGTGCAGTGGTGGCGCGAGCCTCTCCCACCTCTGCGGCAGCACTAAGGATGTCCAAATGACAGAGTAGGCCTGCTCCCCAGGGGTTCCCAGGCTACAAAGGGTGCGCGAATCTCATGCACCAGTCCTCTAGTATATAAACAAACTACCTGACCTAGTCTGGGAGAATGAATGAGTAGAAAGATGAGAAGTTAGTAAATGAAAGAACATTCCTTGAAGATATTTTTGTGTTTTCCCATCTCTGTACTTTTGTGTATACTGTGCCATCTGCTTGTACTTCATGCCTTTTTCAAGTATCCAAATTTTAACTTTTTTCTAGTAATCTGCTGAAGTATTCTCTCCTGACTATAAACTGGACATATTTGTTGGTTTTTAGCTGCCATATATGCATGGACTTACTATATTTTTGCAATCCTCACCTTGCCCTGTTACATAAATCTAGAAGTCACCCTTGACTCCAACCTCCATCTAATCCATTAGCATGTCACATCTCTTTTAGTTCCATGCAGAATTTTTTGAGAAAGTGATGATTAAAGGACTAAATAATCTTAACCTTTTTACCTTTTTAAAATTGTAAAATAAAACGGATATAAAAACTCGCCACATCAAACATAAATTACAGGAGCTGGATTGTAAAGAGAATTTATGACTCATAGCTTAATGAGTTACAAGGAGAATATCCTTAAAACCACTACTCAGTTCAAGAAATAGAACTCCCAGCAATGTACCACTTCTGGTTATTCAAAGAAAACCAAATTGGAGCATTATTTACCATAGCCAAGATATGGAAGCAACCTAGGTGTTCATTGATAAGCTAATGGGTAAATTTTTAAAATATCCTATATAAGCCGAAACCAGTTTGGCTCAGTGGTAGAGTGTCGGTCTGCAGACTGAAAGGTCCCAGGTTCGATTCCGGTCAGGGGCATGTACATTGGTTGCAGGCACATTCCGTTGGGGGGTGTGCAGGAGGCACCTGGTCGATGTTTCTCTCTCATTGACGTTTCTAGTCTCTTCCTCTCTGTAAAAAATCAATAAAATATATATTTTAAAAAAATATCCTATATAATAAAAGGGTAATATGCAAATTGACCCTACTGGTGGAACAACCAGAATGACCACTGGACCAGTCACTATGAGGCGCTCTGACCACCTCTTGGTTTCTTTCCCCAGCCTGCAGGCTCCGATGGTGAATGGGGAACCAGGGGTAGCTGGTGGGGGACATGGGTGGCTCCAGGTCAAGGCCTCTGCCTTGCTGGTCGCACCACACACACAGGGTGACCTGTGGCAGGGGGCGGGGCCAGCTGCAAGCAGCTGGGGAAGATGGCCTTGATTGCAGGCCAGGCCTAGGGACCATACTCAGCACAAAAGTTTTGGGCGCCAGG